TAGAAGCCCCCCCCCCCCCCCTCCCTAGTCGCTGTATTTTTATGTGGTTTGTCACCTCAGGAGAGGGGGACTATTCCCTTGGTTGATATATTGCTCGAGTTTCGATAACTGGGCAATATGGTGAAAGTTTACAAATTTTATTGGTTGATTATTAGATTGGTTAGTAGAGTTTGATTTAATATTAATCCAATAAAAATGCCGCGGCCAATTAATGCCATTTCAAATAAAATAAGTGTTGTGTGGTTATTTATTTAATATTTAAAGTTAATGTAAGCATATGTCACCTACAGTCCCATGTACAAGAACTGGGGAAGTGGTCGTCACTGGAACAGGAATCATGGACATCAATGAAAACCTGTTCAGACATTCTTAATGTTCGTCAATCTAATAAATATGTGTTTGTGTCTGTACTCCCATTGGAGAGATTTCTCTTCAGTTCCTGTCGGGACAGGAGGTAAGGGAAGTCCGCCCCAATGGGGACATAGAGTGAAACACAAATCTGACAGAGACTCTAACCATCTAACCTTTGTCATTCATTTTAAAGAGATATAAATTACTGTGCGTTACAATAGAATTTAGGGTGCTTATAGTGCAGTATTATAAAGCTGAACACCAGGCAGATATAAAAGACAGTAATTGATGCAGATCTGTAATCATTAATACATCATTCAATGTACTCTTTTTAATGCAAGAGCTGTAGGTACCTGAATATGACTTTGTATCTGCTGCACAAAGACCCAATCAGTGGAGCTGCAGTACAAGAGACATGCTGAGAGATGGAAAGAGCAGCGTGACTGAGTTGAGCTTATCAGTCCACTGTTTCTCCTGTCATTGTCCAGTCACAGGCTGGAGGAGGTAAAAGACCTGTAAGTGTTTCCTAACTGCAGCGGGGAAAAATCAAGTCTACTGCCCTACCAGACGGGGCTATCCAGTGTAAATGTCAGGACTAGATGGATAGAAATACAAATCCATACAGCCCCCATATAAGTGTCTGTCTATTTAGCTGGTTGCCTGGAGTTCAGCTTTCAAAGTTGAACTAAAGCTTTAAGAATAATAACTGCTGGCAGGTAGATACATACTCAGTATGTATGTATCTAAATGTGCACTGAGCCGCACATTCTAACGTCATCCCGGGCAAGATGGCCGAGGAACCCAAAAGGAGATCGGGTGAGAAACTGAGAATGTCAAGTTGGGTGACGAGGGAGATCACATCCAACTCAGCGCTGGAGGGGTCACCTTGGAAGGTGAATCAGCCATATTGTGCAAATATACTTGAACATCATGCCAATAGCCCCGGGTACCCTGAGGGCACTTTACTCCCACTTTTGGGGCAAATATTCGGCAAGCTTAGTCTGGTAATTTGAGCTACAGCTGTAGTATTATATAGGAGTTAAAGCAGATAATCTGATTACTAGGAGAGGAAACCCTTACAGGTTATCTTGCAGGGATTATATACATCAGCCAATACCTTGTTATTTTTTTAGTAGACAATTTTGATGCAGGTACTGTTTGTCAAGCTAAAAGCAGCATGGAGCGGCTCAGTGAAGGTGGCAGTGAAGGTGTGGAGGTGTCTCATGGGGTCACACAGCTTGTAGAAGGACAGATGGCCAGCCTCATAATCCAAAGATATCCCAAGAGTCTGCACAGAACATTCTGGATCAATGACTTCATGTATGTTATTATGACTTGCTGCAAGCTTTCCTGCAAATTTTACACCCCATGATTTGTCATTGCAACCTATGTATGCTTTACGCTCATTTATTTTTCTTTCTATACTAGAAGTGGCCGCACCTACTATCCATGGCACTGCTCCGCTCACATCCACCTCCCAGTAATGTCTTCCCGAGGAGAAGCTGTTTTTACTTATAACCTGATGGGTTATAAATCTCTGTGGGAAAGCCGCTCTGTTCTGCAAGGTTTCAGTTAATTTTGCAGATCTAAGATCCGGAGATACATAAATATAATTATTAGCTGTGTTTATATCCAGTTTGATGTCTGATTTGTCCAACGCTTCCAACTGTCCCTTTGTTTTCAGTTCAGTAAGGTTGTCAGTAAATTTGAGAAGTCCTTTCTGTAACATGAATAAGATCATCACCACATCCAGACATCCAGCTTCTCTAACATCACTGATGACATCACCACTGATAATAACATCATCACTTTGTTTCTTCCTCAGGAAAGTAACCTGGTCTGTGATAACTAAGGCATCCCCCGCTTCATCAATAGCCTTGGACAGCTTGTCCTTCTGTAGCTCTAGCTCCTTGACCAAATTTGTGACTGTCAGTGAGATCTTCTCCTCCTGTCTGGAGATCTCTGTCAGGATTCTCTTCTCTACACCATCCAGCTGTTTCCTGATGTCACTAAACAGCTCAGTGACTCTCCCGATGACATCAGCAGCTTTTCCTTCCTCTTGTGTCCTGTGAGTTTCCAGATTTTGGGTTCTCCTCTCAGTCTCTTGTCTGTTGTGGGTCAGTTTCTCAATAGTGTCTTTCAGTTCTGCTTTCTTCTTCTCGTAGGCTTCATTGAGAAGCTCCATCTTGTGCCCCACATGGTTTCCAGCCACCCAACAGGATATACAGGTACATACATCATCCTCTGAACAGTAATATTTCAGGATCTCTTTGTGCACAGGGCATTTTAAGTCTCCAAATGATGTGGTGGGCTCAATTAAAGCGTGATCCACGGACTTATTATGAGCCATCAGATGTTTCTCACACAAAGAGGTCTCACAGTGCAGACATGTCTTAGATGCCGGTACAGGAGTGTCCACGCAGTACGTACAGAAGGTTTCGGTCTTCTCCTGCTGAGCAGATCGGAAACCCTCCACAATGTTACACAACTTCCTGTTCTTCTCCAACACGGGACGCTCTACATACTCCTCTCTGCACTCCGGACAGGAGTACACTCCAGACCTCTCCTGTGATTCCAGAGCAGTCCCAATACAATCCCGGCAGAAGTTGTGTCCACATCTTAGGGACACCGGCTCCGTATAAAGGTTCAGGCAGATGGAACAGCTCAGCTCTTCTCCTAGAGCAGCAGAAGCCATTCTGCATATGAACGTGAAACTAATCTCCTCCCTTCTCTTAGTTACAATAGAAAATGAGACTAACTTTTCCGGTCTTTTAGCTAAGCAAAGAGGAGGGGAAAGGAAACTCTCTATTCTATCACTTAAAGAGGCAGGACCTGGGCTGCAACACTCCGTCATGAACACCTATGATTATCCATGGCAGCCTATTGGGAGCAATGACCCCGATGACAATGATGATGCCCAATGATGCCAATGACCCTTTCTCGGAATCTCAGTTCACATAGAATATACAGGTGAAACTCGAATAATTAGAATATCGTGCAAAGTTCATTTATTTCACTAATGCAACTTAAAAGGTGAAACTAATATATGAGAGAGACTCATTACATGCAAAGCAAGATAGTTCAAGCCGTGATTTGTCATAATTGTGAGGATTATGGCTTACAGCTCATGAAAACCCCAAGAACCCCAAATCCACAACCTCAAAAAAGTAGATTATTACATGCAATCAATAAAACAAGGATTGTACATAGAACAATATCGGACCTCTGAAAAGTACAAGCATGCATATGTACTCAGTACTTGGTTTGGGCCCCTTTTGCAACACTTACTGCAATTACTTTTGCACGATATTCTAATTATTCGAGTTTCACCTGTATATAGTAGGAAGTATTTTTCAGATGTTCCTGTATAAAATACCGGGTTTCCCCAAAAATAAGACACTGTCATATATTTTTTGCCCCCAAAAAAACAACTAGGTCTTATTTTCAGGGGATGTCTTATTTTTTATTTTTTTTTAATGTGCAACAAGATGTACAACGATCTAAAGTTATTCATGTACAACAATCCAAAGTTATCTGGTATCACTCCGCCTGTCACAGTAACTGGCGCTATAGAGGAAGTATCGGCTAATGCGGCTCTGCTCCCTCTGCCGCCGCAGCCTTGCTTTCTAAAGCGCCGGCTTCTTTTGCCATCAGGGACAGTGGTACCAGCGGTGCAGCAGTGGGGACATCGGACAGTGGACAGCGCAGTAAAGTACGGTACCATTTACCGGCACACAGTACAGTACAGTACCATTACATTAAGCAGTGCCTTCAGGGTGACAGTAGTTGGTGAAGTCTGGTACTGGAGTGCTCCCTGTCACTGCGCTGGCTGGAGGGAGTCCCCTGTCATCCTCTTAATACAGTATGTCCCTGCAGGCTGATACCATCACTCCTGCTCTTCAAGTTTCCCCTCACATGCTACCACCAAACTAGGTCTTATTTTCAGGGTAGGTCTTATATTACAGGAATCTTGAAAAATAGTGCTAGGTCTTACTTTCGGGGTAGGTCTTATTTGCGGGGAAACAGGGTAGCAGCTTTACCCTAAACCAAAACAACAGCTACCAAAAAGTCCTTTGTTAGGAGGGCAGTCCCTCTTTTTGGAAACAAATAACCTTGTTAAAAGTGAAAGCATGATGTTTTTTATCCACTATTTGACCATCACACCTGCTTTGGCTGTTGGATGTCCTATTCCAAAACCATGGGCATTCATATGGAACCCCCATATTTTGCAGCTATGTTAGCCTCTACTCTGAAGGATTTCCACAGGATTTTGGACTGCGTCTGCGGAAATTTGTGCTCGTTCAGCCAAAAGAGCATTTGTGGTACTGATGTTGGATGAGAAGAACTGGCTCGCAATTGGTGGTCCAATTCATCCCAAAGGTTTTTCACAGTGAATATCCCAACTGACAGCTAAAGGACTCCTCTGAGGCATGTATACCATGCAATGGGGTTGTGTTGTATAAAGAAAAAGAAGAAGAATCACAGCTAGACTGTTGGTCTGAGCTGGATGTAGACTGGACGAAAAAAATGTGATTCCTTCATCCTTGCTACACAGTGTGAATGGACGAATCTGCCACTGCAGCTGTTGTATTCTGGTAGCGGCTGGTGGGCCGCTGTCAAAATAGCCAAATAGGGACTGCAGCTAATTGACTGTAATCACTGTTCAGCCAAGAACTTTCTGTCTGGCTCCTTCAATTTTCTGATCAAAGGATGTTGGCCAACAGGGCAGAGCAAATTTTAGCCGGTTCATCAAGAACGGTCCAAAAGTTGCACAGTGTATGGCTAGCTTTACTCTCCCCTTGCTTCTCCTTTAAAGCTGCTGCTGAGAACTAGTGATCAATATCAGGAGGAGGAAATTTAGTCCGGAGTCTGGGGTCTAGGCTGCCACAGCCTTGCTTGAGGGGTTTCTGCCCCGTAGACTGAAGCCTAAACCTGGGAAGGTTCACCAAGGAGGGCCTTCAGCAGGAGGTGCATAATAAGCCAGAGGTGGGCTTGGACCTTACAGGATGTTGGTGTCTTACCCAGGAAGATGAAGCTACATTGACTACCATAGACAATTGTCTCCATTTACAGGATTCCAGGCTAGCTTAAAGGTTCTTTACTTGGGGTGTCGGTATGTTTTCCTTGGAGAAGGGGGTGTCCTGTGCCCTAACCCTCTTACCCTGAAATCATATCTACAGCAAACATCTTTCTTCTCCATCTAACTTCATGTAATTAAAAAGGTATTTTTAAAATATTAAAATAGAATATTCCACAATTTAGTTTGTATCCCCAAAAGTTGCTAAATGTTTTTGTTTTGCAGGGACAGTCATCTTTTTGGAAACAAATTACCTTGGGTTTAGAGATCAGGAACAAACCATTTGCAACAATGTCTGAGAGTAGGTCCAAATCCGATAAGGTTTATTGACACGTGTGGTGGGGGGGGGAGGGTCAGCTTACAAGCCAAGAGACCACACAAAACCCCTAAGATCGTATAGATTTTATAGACTCCACATATCAAGATTGAGATCAAGAAGTTTTCACATCATTGGCTAATAGAAACAAATTATTTCATATTTATCTAAGTATTATTGTTACATCAGAGTCCAGGTACACCAGATCTATTCTCCAATATAAGGCTGGCAGGGTGTTGTCCATCTCATGGCTCTCGTTGTCTGGTTATGTGCCTATGGTCATGCGCTGATGACTTCACAAAATTCCTCACAAAAAACATGTTTACTGAGTTTGCATTTCTTAGACTTATCCAGACTTGTTTCCACATATACAAAATTTAATATAATGGCTACAAAATAGGGGGCAATGGGGTGGTTCAGCCATGATCTCCTGTAATGTCCATACACACTTATTATAGTGAGCTCATGATGTTTTGTATATATTTTCTTTTTTTGTTATCATCACGACCAAAAAATTTAATGTATTTTTTGTCAGATTAACATGAAACATTATATATGAATATTTCCTATTTAGATTCCTAGGACGGGGGAAATCGGCCACCCTTTAAGGACCTCCAGTGGTGAAGTGTGTGGCTTTGTTGGAATATTTTTTCTACGGAAGGGGGAGGAGTATTTTCAATATGTGGGAGTTGGGTGAAAAGTGTACATATCCAGGTGCCCTGTGCGAGAAAGCTTTATTGCGCCCCTCAGTGACCACACCCCTCAGTGGCCACACCCTTTTCCCCCAATATCCGCACCATTTAAAGACTCCTATTTTGTTAAGCCGCAAAGAAACATTAAAAAGTATGATAAAAATAAAACTTTTATTCAAAGGTATTAAACTTGTCGGCACCAGAGAAGTATTCTTATCAAATAAAACAACAGAAGGTAAACAATAAATGCCAAACTAAAATAGAGTCTACAAAAATAAAATGTCAGGTTGTCATGCCGATCCCTTTTTTCAAGTAAGTGCATCTAGAAAAGTAAAAATAGAAAACAGAACACAAAACCCGGACTACGTGTTCAATTAATGAATTACTATATGTCCGTATATACGAAAAATATATTCCGGCGCATAATAATTTGTTTGAGAATGTGCGGCGGCCATGTTGGCCACCGGCGTGTTCTGTGAATGCGTGCCACCATCTTGGAGGCAGGGAGCATGACGTTACATGGCGCCATGCATGCGTGGTGTCAGGTGACGATGGCGGCGCCCAACATGTGCGGTATATGACATCATGCGCCCCGCCTCCAGAACACGCCAATGGCTGAATCCAAAATAGCATCAAAATTTGTTTTGTTTGATGAAACAAATGAAAACTTTTTTAGTTTCCGTTCATTTCATCTGAAATTAATTTTCAGTCTACGCACATGTCTAATAAAACGTTTGTGTGTGCGTGAGGGGGGGGCTGTTTTCATTTTTTAAATCCCCCCCTGAAGTGGGGGGGCAGACGAGGGAGCGCTGTCATATGGGATGGCCAGCGGTGAGGGGAGAGAAGCCGCCCACAGGACGAGCTGTGGCGGCCGCACAGCTCTCACACCCCTAAGGCCGGCCCTGTACATATCCTCTAAAGAATCTCATCTTATAAAACAAAAAGAAGCTTCCCTATCCCACCCCGTATCCCTACACCTGTCCCTACCCCCATACCTCCCTCCCTCCTATCCCTTCTGTATCCCTCCCCGTATCTCTTCCCTATCCCTCCCTGTATCCCACACCCTCTCCCTCGACCT